AACCCGCCAAAATCCAGTTTACAGAGAGTTTCAGTTTAGTCTATACGACCCAAATGTATAGTTCTTATCAAGCAGATGTACAATTTATATGAGATTCAACCAAAAACATGAATGAAATCTGAGAAGTAAAAAATGTTGTTGGCCATCTTTTGATGATCAGTGTCTGGAAGTCACAACTTGAACTCACTCTTTTATGATGATATACTGTATATATCACTGATGTAGTGTGTATGTAGTTGTCTCACTCATTCACTGAAGCAGTTGCTGTGTATTATCTTATGCATGTGTCTCTGAATTTCACCACAGTGGATTTAGTAACTTTAATCAGTTAATCTTATTGAGATCAAAATCTCTTTTTAAAGGGGGACCTAAGAACAAGAAACATTCATAGTGAAACAACCAAGCTGCCAGTAAACAAGAACAACACATGCAAAGTCTAACAACAAATAGAAATGTTCGAGCAATAAAACAAACCATCAGATAATAGGCTTTAAATCCTCCAAAAAGAAATTAAATAATTGAGCTTGAGCAGCTTGTGGTTCAAGGTTCGTAACACCTGAAACCAGTTCTGCCTAGATTTGTGCACAAATACAATACATGTGAAATATTTAAAGTTAAGTATTCACTGGATTGAATAGTTTTATGGACGAATGCCATGAGATGATTATTCCTTATTGTCAGTAAAGACGTCCATCCAATTCTGTGATGCAGAGAGCTATTATGAATACAACATGTGTCATAAGGTGTAACACACTCTGACAGGCAGCATTTACCTGCTCATTTACAGTGATGATGGGGCAGTGCGCTTTCTTTGTCAGCGTCATCTTGAATTGAATCTAAATTTGAAAACTGGCTACTTTAGGTATGCAACGTTAGTTTTTAAGGAGTATCGGGGGATGAGGACACACACTGACTCTATGTGGGGGAGGGCAGGGGTGCAGAGGGTGGACAAATTAAGAAACACATGCTTCAGAAAAGAAGTGTTTTTTTGTTTTTGCAGCACTACTCACTTCAGTAAACTGTAATAAATGATGGTTTTTCAAAGAAAGAAAGATAATGCAAAGAGATAAAGACAGCATGTGCGGTGCATATAGCAGGTGACTAACAACAAGAGATTAACCCTTTCAGTGCAGAGTGCAGTAACCAAGACAGACAAAGTGAGACAGACACAGCAGTGTGAAACAGAAGTTTCATTTTTCGCTTTCTAAACACAGTCTTTACTCTCCATCTCAGAGCAGTGAGGCCAAATAGGTATCAGAGCATCAGCTCAAATTATGTGAAACAAAAAGGGAGAAAAAAGTGTGTTCCATTTAATGCTGCAATTGACTCTTTTGTACTCTCACAGAGCTATTGATGAAAAAAGACAAAAAGCCCTTCTTACAGGTCTGCATATGGAGGTAGATGGTTATCGACACAATGGGCTGATGGAGTGAGTGTTTTCACAGTGGGAGTGGTTGGATTGGTTGACTGTCATTTAAGGGGCAAAAGAGGGGGCTCTGTTTGCAGTGTCAATATTTACAGTGACACATGCTGGATGGATGCTGACTGACTGGGATGAATTGTGTGTGTGTGTGTGTGTGTGTGTGTGTGTGTGTGTGTGTGTTTGAGCGGGAGACAGAAAGACAGCATTATCAGTATAAAATGGATGTCAGATGTCATGCTCTGATGAACAGATTCAAGTCTTAAAAAACAGAACTTTTATCTTGTGCGTATGTGAGTGTGGGTACTCGGATCTCTCCAATAGCAGGACCCACAAAGTCCCGGAGGACTTGGAAAAGCTGAGTTGTAGCATTTGAAAGAAACCTTCCCACAAGATAAAGTTTAGAGAAGTCAACCAGTACAGTGTAATGTGATTTAATAGGTGACCAATCACAAATGGACTCTGCCTCTGTCACAATCTACAAGCCTCATTTACATTGCAAATCAGAGATATGCAAATGGTTGAAACACAGACTGGGTCTGTATCATTTCTCTGCTCACTACACTACATTAATAGTTATCAATAGAGTATATCAAACCTGTATTAACAGTCCTTTCACATTTCTTTATTCTATTTCTTTAATACAAAATCCCCATTAATCCTCTTTACAGTAATTTCCCTTCTGACTTTTTCACCTTAAATTTCCCCCTCCTCTTGGCCATCTAACATTCTGCAACAAATTCTACTTTATACGCCTCCTGTGTTCTGTAAAAGTTTGATTTGCAACAGGTTAAAAATGCTAATAACCTCCTTCAGTATACAGTTTCATGATCCAACAGTGTGACTCATCCAGCTTCTCAGTCTGTTGTTTGTCTTGCAAAGTACAACTAAACCCAACTTTACGCTGTGTGATTTCACCCTGTCTTTCTTCTGTAATTTTGTTGTTTACATGTGGGCCCATAGCCCCCAGCTGCAAAGAAATTGTCATGTTGATTTACAGGCTGTCTGTTGTATTTATACTGTATACAAAGCAGCAGGTAGAGGCCCCCTGCCATGAGGAGTGATACTCTGCCCCCCCCCCCCCCCCCAGCTTCTCTCTGCATGCACAGAGCCACTGAAATGATTTTGTTGCCATCTAGTGGTCGATCACACTCATAACATTTTCTGACATACAAAACTGACACACACAAACACACACAGAGTAATGTGTCCAATGTTAATTGAAAAACATTTACTTCTCATTGTTCACAGTGCTCAGAGGTTGGTTGTCAGAACAGAAATATACAGTCAAGACGTCAGATGATCAGTTTTGGATACAATGGGCTAATTTTCAAAGGGGCCATTGAAAAATTCTATTACAATTACCAAGCTGGTGATTACTTTTCTCCGAAGACGTTAAGTCCTTCAGGTAGCTAGCGTGTAGTTAGCAACTAAATGGACATTATGTAAAGATTGTTTTCTCAACTGCTGATTTCAAGGTCAAGAATGAACTCTGAACTTCAGCCTTAAAGTCAACATGGATAAGAAGTCTTAAACCCATTCAGAGAAAATAGACATTTGAACATCTACAGTTCCATGACAACTGGTCCGTCAGGCTCAGTGTTTCTTGCTTTAGCTTTGCAGCAAGTCGATCACAGTAAAACACAAGGGAAATACAAGGGAAAAACAACAACAAAAAATTATTGTAGTATTGGGCACCGGGATGACAATCTTTCAAACCATCAGGCGACTGATTACACTTTATGTGAAGATAGAAATTTAATTTTTTAAAACACAGTTAAATCTGAGGTGGAACTGCACCACAGCATTAGTTTATTGAACAAAGTGGTTACTTTTGACCATGGATGACCCTTTAAGAGGCTGAAAAAAGGGAAACATAGCCCCATGTCAGTGCATATGCATAAAAATGTAAATAACTTTTCTGTTAAATTCTGTGTGTCCAATCTTATAATGGAAACTACTGTACTCTATATATAATACCAGCTGATCCTGGTTGATCTTCCTCTGACCATCACAGTCAATTCACTGATTTTATGAAACTAACTTCTTTTTAATAAGATGATACCTATAGTGAATCTGCTATAACTACTATTCTGGTATAAAAACTACAGTACATATTCGTACTTGGTAGTGAAACCAGTATGGCTCAGTGACCCTGTATCAGTGCTGATTCTGAGAGGTATTCAAATACAAGGCAGCCTGAGGCCTGCTATCTTGACAAGATCAACACTGTGGCAGTAACATCGTCAGTAACAAAGAATAAAATGCTGCAGTAGGTTTTAGGTAGCATGAAGTGATGTCTCACAATGTTCTGTGTTTCTAGTTTAAAAACAATTTGCTCTTGACACAGACAGCTGTACTGGGAGGAAGGTCTAAATTAAAAATAAAAAAAAAAACTCAAAACAAGATTGAATGAGTCAGTGAGCTTTGTCTGTAGCTACTGGTGATCGAACAGGCAAGAGTGTACCTTAGAGTAAATCAAATCAGTCAACAGTGTCAGGCTTTTCAGAGATGGTCCATGACTCCCTGTTACAGTAGAGGCATAAAAAACAGTGATAAGTATGGGGCATAAATATAGTTGGAGTTTAAGCAAAGCTAATACAGTGCTATAGTGAGGACAGGAATAACCTACAAATAACCAGAGCTACAGATAGATATGAATATGGCCACTTTCATACATCTTGGCCTGTGACTTAACTTTATTGCACTGCACCTCATAGAAAAGGCTTATATCACAGTTAGTGTAACTTTTCTTTAAAAAAAAAAAAAACCCATAGAAATGATTTGTTTCATCATTGGTTTTACACTTTTCATGAATATAACTTCTCAGTATTTCAGGTGTGATTATCTTACAGAATAGACTGTATGTAGAATACACTGTGTGTTGGCTGGGTTGTTAGAATCATAAAGCTCAGGTTATTCTTCTATAATAGCTCAGGGAAGACGTGGAGCCGGGGCCTCTGCTAGCACCGTGTACTAGACGTGAATCTAAAGACTGACAACCTTATCTATACATAGTTAGAGCAGACTGGTTAAAAAAAAAAAAAAAACCTTTTTATATTGGCATTTCACACTTGGACCAACTAGTATTTACAAATACTTGGTTTTAAGTTACATCAGCTACATACGGATAAGTTTCACCATTGAGATTATATATATAAGTTCCATTTTTAGACAACTGAGAATTGTACACATTTTTAATAAAGAACGATGATATATACTTTTCTGTAACAACCATCTCAATTGATTTGATATTTACTGCAGGATATAATAAATTAGTTATTACAATTGTAAATATCTGTAGCTACTAATTGGCCCAAGTCTGTTCAGAAGATACAGTGCACACAGTGCCTGCAGCAAGTGTAAAAACAAAGTCATATAAAAGCCTTAGAGAGGTAACAGAGCAGGGAGTCAATGTATCAGAACAGTACATTGGCACTTTGGCAATGCTCACTGAGTGTACGACCCAATCTGACCCTGACACTGGTGGGGAGATCAAATAGGAAACAAACGGCTACAGTACTCTGAGAGAGAGAGAGAGTGTGTGTGTGTGTGTTGTGTGTGTGTGTGTGTGTGTGTGTGTGTGTGTGTGTGTGTGTTTAAGTATGCTGGTATGGCTGAAGAAAAACAGGCAACAACAGTTTGATCATGTAAGAAAGCTTGTCCAGAAAATGGTGAAACACCATTACAAAATGTGTTTCATAGACAGACCAAGTTGCTGTTAAGGCTTTGTTGTGTATGAGCTTGTAAAGTGAGGTTATCAGATAAATAAATGCACCCATTAAGTTGTTACAAAGGTAACACCAGTGTAAGGAGAGTTATGTTTCCCAATATCCATATGCAGTAAAACGGTTGATAACATTGCTTGTGGTGTGTTTTGGCATGTGAAGTGCTGAGGTCGTACATCACAGTATGAAAAGATTATACTGTTTAGAACATTACATGTTTGTGTTCTCCACGTCGGTGAGTCGGGTCAAGTCAAAAACATCCAGCGGAGGGTTGATATCAGAATTCAAGCAACTCGGCAACAGCAGCTGAAGCCACTTTGTGTCAGTCATTAATTGTATGGGTCAGTCTTACAGGTTACACAGTTAAAACAGAATACGTGTTACAGTTTACAATACCTTGAAATACCAACTTAGTGCTCGAGTTAAAACGCACTTCAGTGAAAAGTAGACAAGTGAGACACTTGTATGAAAGAGCATCCAATAGAAGTGCAAGCTGTACAAAAAAAGAGAAAAAGTGAAAAGAGCTTAATATGTATTGTCTAAAACTTTAAAAAGCATAGTATAGTTGATATATTAATATATTCCTTTCATAATCTTTCATATATTTTATAGCATCTTTTTCAGCACAGTCCAGCTGACTTATTAAATTTGTATATAATTTTGGCTTTTCTTTATTCTTCTAGCAGCATTGTGCAGACACATTAATATTCGTCTTTGCTGATCCCTCTTCTGCCATCAGCCATAACCTTCCCGTCCTGTATCTGCGTCTCAGTAACTTTGAAGCAGATATCAGGGTTAAAGAGCAAGGCATGACTTTGTCAAATTGGCATTTATTTACTAAGATTATCAATCCATCTGCTCTACCATGGATCTGTCTCCATCTTCTTTTTTTTTTTCCTGCAGTGCTGAGGGAGCCATTCCTCACTAACCCAGGCCAGACTCCCATCCTGCGCTCCCACTTTCAGAGCCCGCGTACACCCACGAGTGGGAGGAAATACACTGGAGGACAAACAAGGAGCCTCATAAACACTCCTCCTCCATTTACAAAGGAAGATGAAACACCCCAAGAAACAAGAGGAAGATTAAGGGATGCTTTCTCCCTCTCCACCTCCTCCTTCAGGCTCAGGCTCATCAATGTGGGGGTGTGTTTGCGTGTCTAAATGTGTGTGTGTGTAACGAAGGCGGCTCCAGCGGGCCTTGTTCTTGTGCAGGTGACCCGTCATGGTCTGGCTGAGCAGGCTGGGCTCAGTGAAGCGGTACCACTCCTCAAACAGAGGCTGCACAATGTAGGAGATAAAACCTAAGACACATAGCAAAGGCAGGGAGAGTGAGAACTCATGGGGTGGGGACTGATAGATTTATATTGATCCTGACACTACTTGCAGTCCCTCGCCATCTCTCAATGAGTTGAGGTACATCTTCTCTCAGGGACACATGATGATATAATATTCTTGGTGCATGCCTGTGTCTTTCGTACTCACCTATCTGGATGGCTGGGACAGAGTCCGCCTGCTGGTTACACAGAGGACTGATCTCCAAGTCAAACTTTCTCTCCAGGTCACCTGTTAATAAACAGAATAACAGATCATAATAAAAACTGTCATCAGAACATGCAATAGAAAAGCAGAGATGTAGGAAAAGATGATAGAGATGCGGACCTGAATAAAATCTTTAATTCATTATGTTTAAGTAGTTACAATCAGTGTGCATCTTAAAAATGTGGCTTAAAACTGGATAAAAAGTTCATTTTGACGCGCATAGGAGATATGTTTTCTATCAACAATGAAACAGACCGTTACCATGATTAAAATCATGGATTTCGCTAGGTTTGAAAAGTGCTGGAAACATTTGGGATAATGTAAGTACACAACAAAATATATAACGTAGGTCACACAAATGTAGTTCTTGATTTTCAGATCTAAAACACAGAATTTCAGCAGTGACTCCGGTGTCTTGAACGTATCAAAATTTCTATTTTCTAAATACTAAGGTAGTTCTCTTAAATTAAAAAGGTACACTAAAAAATACTTCCAATGTCATAACCATTCTCTCTGATGGTTTTTTCATCTCAAACAGTTTACTCACCCTGCCTGTAGAATTCCTCACATACCCTCTCACTCCACTGTCTGCTCAGCTCCCAAACCCGACACGGGTTACAGACGTCAGCACACTTCAGAGCGATCTGAGGGCAAAGAGACGAGGCATTCGTTGCTTTACTGTTCATATGAAAGTTATTTGTTGAAGTATACATTATAATTCCAAAATTGTGTGAAAAATGCTTGCATATACTCTATTGTGGGGTGGATGTGAAGTATACCTGCAGCATAAAATGCCTGTGTGAAGCCAGTTGAAGGTCCAGGTCCTGGTTGTCCAGATGTTCTCTGAAGGTCAACAGGAACTCGTTCTGCCGGCTGATGTCCGTAGCCAGGATGAGAGAGCCCAGCTGCTGCTCCATGTCCTGCCTGCAGAGCAGAGGGGGGGGAGACAGAGTCAAAACCACTAACGTGCTCAATTCTGACTCTACTTGTACCAGCAACAGCTACATTTTTGGAAATATACTGTATGTTTATTGGTTAGTTACCATAGGCTGTACACTTTTCTACTGCTTTTACAGTGATACGCTAAACGGAGAGCTCAAATGAATAAATGCATCATGATTATTTAATCAAAACTTAATATCGAATATATACATACATATATATTATATATTCAATAATAAGTTTTTAAGAAATTGCAGTAGCAGAATGCAAAGGATAAGATTGCAATAAGTCAAAGATCTACTGCAGAGCACTGACAAGTTTATTTTACAACTGGTAAAAATGTCCCATTTCATACGTACAGTATCTTGCTCACACTTGACTAGAGTAGGGTATCCTTGTAAAAAATATTTGTTTATATCGTGTGTGTGTGTGTGTGTGTGTGTGTGTGTGTGTGTGTGTGTGTGTGTGTGTGTGTGTGTGTGTGTGTGTGTTCTTACCACATGTCAGCAGGCAGGTGGGACAGAAGTCCTGACTCTCGCAGCATGCCTACAGTGGACCTCCAGTGGTGACTCTCCAGTACAGATGTGTTCTGTTCAAGATAAGTAATTTTACAAACGGACTCAGTTGCAGCTTTGACACCAAACCCACAATCACATGTTGAAACACACACTATTAACCAGCACCGCCCCGAGCTGTGCACCTGGTAGAGGGATGCCAGGTGGTGTCTGGTCTTGATGAGGAATGGCTGGTTGACTCCAGGATGGTCCACATCGTGGGCGGCTGCTGCCATCAGACCCAGGAACACATCCAGTGGGCTCAGCTGCTCTGCCAGCTACAACACAGGGAAGGTCCACAGACACACTCATTTCAGATGAAACCTGATTGCTACGCTCACCTTGTAGAGAGACTTACAGAACATACAGTGTGGAGTATGAAGACTCTGTGTTTTTCATTGTTTTGGGTGCAATCTAACACCTGAAATTAAAGATGAGAGTCAGAACTTCAACTTAAATGTTTATGTTTTATTCCAAGCCCAATACTCTGGAGCACTGAGTCTTAACAAACCTGTCCTGATACTTGCACTGCCTGAATGCACTATACATTAGGTTTCAGTTCAGTTGTGACCTTAAGTGTATTTCCGCTTCAATTTGTCTTCTGCAAATCTACTTTTCATATTTCAGCTTCCTTTTGAGAAAAAAAGTGTTTGTTGTAATTAAAATATAATAAAAGGACACGGTATAGAAATATACTTACCTCATTATTCAAATGGTCTCATATCTTGCACTGTAAACTGAAGTGCTCACTCACAGTTATGGATTTTAATTCATAACAGATCCAGGTGTGTGTCGGAGCATGGGGATGAATGCTTAATGGTCAGTAAAGGACAAAATGGTATATTGATCGGAGAAGCAGCAGGCTTGTCATCTTATATGAGTGTGTCCTAGTTATCTAAAGCAGACCAGGCCGTATGCCTTTCACAAAATATGTGCATCACTAAGTGCTTTACAGAGCAACAAGGACACAAAACAATTACTGTATGAAGGGGAAAGATGCAGAGGCACTTAATCTGGTCAGAGGGCTTCAGGGATTTCTCCAGGCTGTGGATAGATGTGTTGCCGAGTCTAAGCGAGCAGGAATTATCCCTCAGGGAGCAAAGCTAATAGAATATGTCAAGGAGAAGCTCAGGTCTAGTGAATTGCTGCAGAGAGAGAGAGAGTGTGTGTGTGTGTGTGTGTGTGTGTGTGTGTGTGTGTGTGTGTGTGTGTGTGTGTGTGTGTGTGTTTGTGGGAAACAGAGGGAGACACACACAGAGCGAAACGGAGAGGGTGTGCGTATCTGTGAATACAGTATTATTAATTACCTTGGGCTCCTTCAGATAGCAGTACATGGCTTGAGTGACATCCGCTGCATGAACAGCATTGTGATAGGGATTCTGGGAGTGGTAGTCCTCCTGCACCATGCCTGGCAAGACAGGAGATGAGACCATATCCTATTAAACTATTTACCCTTGCATATCTTAATCTGATATTAATGCAATTCAGGAAACACCGCTGAAACATGTCAAAGCCTTAATTTGATTATCAGATCAGTGTAATCCAGTTAATACATAAGACATTTTGATTCACTGAGGAAAAGATGCAGAATTTTACAATTATTCAAACAGCTGCAACACCCCACTAAACAAATAACTTGACACAGTACAGTAGCAAAGCTGAGAGTAGGGTGTGTTCACACATTGGGATTTTAAGGCACAGATAAAAGGCCAAGCATGTTTAGCATGCTGTGGATACTGGATTAATATTTATTTACTATAACAACATCCGCACACACATCTGTCACTTTATCCATATTTGTTGTTACTGTGGGGAAAATAAACCCAGAGTCTCCTTTGTAATGACTGATTGGCAGAGAAAAAGCAGCCGACATCAGCTTGGGCTTTCCTGAAACGTTAAACCCTGCTCAGCTTTCACGTGTGTTCTGTCCTGCCTAAAGAGACGCCGAGTGAACCTTTTACAAAGCAAATGCTTTCTATGTGGAATAGGTGGTGGCAATGGGGAGAAAATGTTATGTGTGATCATATCAGTCCTCCTTACCATTTAGATGTTATAAAACATTCTTAGAAAATGATCATACTTGTGTAAGATACAAAATTATTATACTTGTGTAATTTGTTCGACAATTTTTTTTTTAATCAAAGTCAGTAGCCAATAATATCAGAGGACAGAGGGTTGATGGGAACTACTGCCACTTTCTTGCAGCTTACCCAGAAACCTGTGCAGTTTGACCATGTCCAGCTGGAAGTGATGAATGAGACCGTAGACATTGAAGAGATGGCACATAAGCGTCACCAGGCTGTTACCTACAACACACACACACACACACACACACACACACACATACAAATACTACTATGTCAGAGGACACATACAGTAATGTCAACTTTACAAAAATTAAATTTTATAGCTCGATGTGGTAGCAGACTATAACAGTGAGAACATTTTTTTTTTCTTTTAAAGTTGCATGTTAAAACAAAACAGTAAAAACAAGGTAAGGAAATGGGCAGTAGATAACACCGTGACAACAACAGGATTGTATTTTACATAAATTAAGAAAGTGAATAATGTTGATAAGTCATCTTACCATTTGTAAGACGATCAAAGAGGAAAATGTCAAAGTTCCATGTGCCTACTTTTGATAGCATATGCTGTAACAAAAGGACAAAGTTATCAGAAGTGATCTGTGATTCACATGCGGTGCATATGTGATACAGAGACCTGAGGATACCTGTATGTCTGCACCTCTGAGTGTATGTACATGTGAGTGTGTGTACTTACCCCAGCTTGTCCTAGATAGTCGTCGTCCAGCAGGTGTAGGGACCCGGGGGTGTGGGGCACTAAACCCCTGAGCAGCCTGGAGGCGTGACAGTATCTCTGGAAGCTCAGCAGACGCTTCACCTTTCTCCTGTTGCCGGACTCTACCTCCCCCTGCTGGGCACTGGCTGAAATTACAAAGACACAAAATTTATTTTATCATTAGCAAACAGAGGACCTGACAAATGGTGGTGGTGCAGTAGTGACGGATACACATCTAATAAAAGCAGTTTTAGGATTTCCTGAATTGTATGCAGATCCGTCCAAACACCCAAATCCTTGGTCTTGAGTAATTAGTGAGAGTTCTTGCCCCATCAGGTAAGTAGACATCTGTGTGACCCACTTTTGAAAAAACACACAGTACACTTAACCTACATTTAATGCACAATTACCCTGATTCTGTCTCTGAGCTGTATTCAGAGACAAGTGTATCCCATAATTCATCATTCTACCACTGGCAATAATCAACAAATACACAGAAGTTAAAGTTCATGACATGTTGGAATCAACCTTAATACCACATCTGTATAAATGATAATGATGTAGCATGAATATCATAAATATATCATGAATCTATATCATATCATATAAGCTTCCTTCTTTTATTTTGACAATGAGTTTGATTTAAAAAAAAATCCTGAAATAATATCACCTTATGTCTCCTAATTCATGCAGAAAAAAGTACCCAGTGTAACAGCTTTATTTCTTGCAACCTCCATTTACATGAAACTAAAATCAAAAAGGATCAGGGCTAGAACGACACATATCCATCTATTTATGTGAGCGGTGGGATGACCTCATCAACCACGTGTTTCGAGACATTCTCTGAAAATCCTCCACACATTTGCTATCTTAATGGGTATCGGATGTCATTTCCCAGAAACTCATCACATCCGACTGAGTGCAAATACTGGGACAAAGCCTCGGTCTTGTTTGAAAAATGGGGCGTGAACCAAGAAATGAGTACGAGTTTCATTTAGTGTATTTTCTTCATATAACTGAGGTACTTTTTATGCAGGTATCACATTTATATGAACACTTATTCCTGTTATGGGTAGTCACAAAAATGATTACCCTTTGTGTGTTACCGTATAACCAGATAGAACCATTTCTTTCACCATTAGAAACTTTGATTGGAATTCCTGGAAACATATTCAGTTTTTTTTTTTAACAACAAAGGTGATTTCTGAGTAAATGAATAAATAAGGGTTTTATTAGGGGACTGACAACTGTGTTCTACTTAAATAGGTAAGGAGACTTACTTTTCAGGATGTGCAGGTCAATCAGCGGGTAGGAGCCTCGTCTCTCAGCCAGCAACACACCAGCATGACCAGTGTTCAGTCTGCCATCAGCTACATGAGAGGGAAAGAAAGAAGGGAGAATAAGGAGAGGATGGAATATATAAATATTTGGTGGTTTTATTGATGGTTTTGTATTGGCCATATTTGGTAAACATGCTTCCCCCCCCTCAAAAAAATCCATGAATCAAACATTCAAGGAGAGAGGAGACAGATGAGGGGAGTGTAGAGACTCAGCAGAGCAGAGGCGATAGAAGGATAAGTCGAGCAGCCAGCGGGGTGACGGGAGGACAACAGAGCAAAGTGTTCCCCCGGTGCCATACATAGATGTTCAACATGATCAGCCTCATAAAAGCAGATTTAGAGTCGTCTTTAAATCAGCTTCTATTAAACAAGAGGATCTTTGACTTCGCTGAACCACCAGGACATCATGCATCTGGTCTGAGTTTGCCTGAGGAGAATGGATTTCATGCCACGGTGCAGCTGTTATGGTGCATGTCTGAACACTTATTAATTACCAGACTGTTGCTGCGTTTCGTTCATACAATAATTGTTCTTGTTTTTACTGTAGTGTCACACTGACGCTGATCGTTTGATGTGGTAAATTTTTTAAACAAAGGTCGTTCATAACCCTTGTGCTCCGAGCAGAAGGAGTGGAAATGTTGTTTCTGCTGCAAAACAAAGCTTTTCTGTTTGACTCTGAATCTAAAAAAAGGAAACGTGTACTTCTCCCATTTTTTGAAGTGCCCATTTATTTCGGAGATGCTGACAGCACATTGTCTCCTGTCTACTGTATGAATTCTTTCCACAGGAAGAGTCCCAAAAGTAACCCTCATTGTGTGAGCACCTATCAGATGGAGCGGGAACACAACAGCATAACAGGTCCTTGAACACTAAATACTGCCTCTATTAAAATGCACAAGAGGCCAGTGACAACAAGGCACAACAAAACTAGGCTCTAGGTCACCGCTTACATGCACACACATGAAATTTACACTTGAATGAGCTCCAAACTATGGGAATACTGAATAATTTACAGATCAGATGTGAGGAACTGGAGCGTATTATGTCCCAGAGGTTGCCAATTCACATCACCTCTGTGACTCCCGCTTGTAAGAGCAGCTAAACTATCTGTTAATGGGGCTGGAGTCACTGTGGTAACTCCCTCAGGTTGCCAGATCTTCCCTTGCAAGTGTGGGTTGCCAAAAGTACCAGAGTTTGCAGGCAGGCATTGTGGTTTTGGTAAGTGTGTGTGCAGTGTAGGCAAGGTGGCTGTACATAAAACATATGGAGGAAAATTGGCATCATTCCCTATTTATGCATGTTATAGTCAACCAAACAAATATAAACCACTTGGGGGAAGTGACTCAGCCTGTTAAAGTGAGGCAGAAGTCCTGCTGGCCTAGTTTGAGCAAGAAAAGGGGGAAAGCCTCTTTGCTTTTTTATCCTGCGCACTGGCAGGGAAGGAGAGGAGGAAATACACCATCTGGAAAAAACACCGCAGTAACACTCAGATCACCCCCTACACACAGACACACATACACACCAGCCTCTGGCTCTCTTCCTTCGCTCTAGCTATCTCCCCATACTTCTATTTTATGTGTCACTCCATCCTTCTGTCCTCCCCTACTTCTGGATCCCGTCTCCACATCCTCCTCTCTCTCTCTCTCTCTCCATCACCACCCCCTCAACCTTCCCATCATCCTTCATTCCTTCGTGTTCGACAACAACACCCCCTCTCCCCATCTGATCCATCCTTTCGTCTCGCCCCCCTCCGCCCCTCTCCTCTTTCCCTCTCTTCTTTTAACTCTTTGTGTGGTAAATAGGTCATTGTCTCCATGCTGAGCAGAACTGGGTCACTTAGGATGAAAATGTGAATCAGTTGGAAAGGGTGTTTAAAGATGTGGCAACGCACACGCGTCTTGTCATCAACCTGTGCGCGAACGCTCACGGCACGCACACACAGTTGCAAATGAGGCCAAATCCCTGATTTCAAAATGCGAAAAACAAGATCACACACTTGGCGCGCGCACGCACTCTCGCACGCGTGCACACACACACACACACACACACACAGCTCTGGTAGGAATATGTTCACTTGGTTTCACTGAATCTCTCGGTGTTTATGGCACAACTTGTGCTTTGGGGCTGTTTGCCTTCTCAGAAAGAGACGGTCAGACACATCGATGCCATACGCAGCACCAACACTCGAATACAAATGTGTTTTAAACACACAGTGGCCGATGATGCTTCCTTCTGCCTGCAACTGCTTTATGGGGATACATAAATACATACAGTGCATCCATGCAGCTGGCAGTGATGTCCAGACACAGTTAACTCAGTGGCAGAGCTAACACATTCTGTTTCTGTGTGTTTGCAACAGCAGACAGATGTGTGACATGACCTAAGGCAGCAAGTAACTATTATTTTCATTATCGAATAATCTAGCCAGTTATTTTCTTGATCAACTGATTAATTATTTTGTCTATACAAATGTCAGAAAATAGCAAAAGAAACTCTTCAAGCCCATGTTGACATATTCAAATATCTTTTTTTGTCCAAGCAGCAGCCCAAATTCGAAACAAATTTTGTTCAATATCATATAAACTAAGAGTATGATAGCTCTCTATATGCAATTGTCAAAAAAGGAAAATATGACAATTGTTAATTACATTTCAGGTACTAAAATGATCAGTAGTTTTCGGTAAAATACTCTAAACCAAACTCTAAAACACTGCCAGTTAGCACTGCTAGATAATCCTCCTTTTATTTAATAAAAAGAAAAAAAAAAAACTGTAATTCTGATATTTTCAGTCCTTTTCAGTCTTTGCTATAGTGCTAAATGTCAGAATGACTCACTATCACCACAGACAAGGTATCTCAGTGTCTTGACACACGTGGTGAAATCAAACAATGCGCAGACAGACTTTCACCCTCTGTATGGAAGTCATCAAATGAATGAGATCATCACAATTCAACCGGGAAAGTCACAGGCAGTGAAGGGCATACATTTGTCCATTTTCCCCCCTATGAGTCACTACCTGCACACAGGTAATTCCCCACAGTGTGAATCATCTCAACTTTTCAAAAGCACAAACACACAAAGATTTAAATGTACATTGTTCCATTTTTTGATCAGCTGGTTGTGCAAATATCAAAGTCAAGACTTTCACTGCATCATACTTGTATCACTAAATGACAATGAGATCAACGTTATCAAAAAACACCTGACAGTTAGTCAGGCCTTCTGTCAATCTAACATTAACAGTAAAATGATATCAATGTATAAGAGAGAAAGCCTAAGGCCAAAAACACCTCTCCTAAAGTCAGCATTAGTGTTACCATAGTCAACAGCCTATTAAATATCAATGTAATGTCACTGTTGTTCATCACCTTATTTCCTGTCATTGACATTAAACATTGGTTTATTGTCAAATCATCACTTCTCCACTAAAGTAATTCATACCAAACTGGCAACAATGTTACTCTGCGTCATCAGTGTTATACTCCTGACAGACGGACACAGGCTCGATTGATGGCGTCACATCAGTGTCATCAGTACAGCTGCAGCTCAGCAGATGGTTACAAAGCTTTATTTAATGGACACTCTGGCTTTACAGCCCAAATCCCTCATTTCACCATCTACTCTGGCCGGCTGTCTGAACTGCTCTGAGCTGCGTCTGGACCCACGTCACTTACGGACACACATGTACGTAAACATGCGGCCAGAGGCGTGCTTGTCAAAGATAATGTCACACATGCACACATGCATGCACTTTATTAAATTAAAACGTGAACCCAAACACGTAGTCAAAAAGTTGAATATTTAAATGAAAAAATGGATGCACAAGGACAGACAAAAACAAGCCCAGACACCCTTATTCATAAAGTTGACCACAAACACCACTACAAAGAGAACAAATTCTGCACAAATCATTACACATTGTGACAGAATGTGCCCAAAAAAATGCAATGTAAAGTCACACACTATGGGGTTTCTGTTATAAATGTTTTTTTTCATGTAGCACACACAGCTGCTGGGTCAAAATAAACAGACAACATACATGACACATTAAACATTTATCAGAAAACTCCTATGAGCTTTACTGTACTTGAAACATGTATCATGTGGAAGTTACCTTCCAGATGTATGCTCCTGTCCTCTATGTCCTGCTTCCCCTCCTCTACCTCCTCCTTCTCTGCTTCCACCCAAGTGCTCGCCTCACTTCTCTCAGACCCCCGAGGGCCTCCCCTGCGCGCCCTCCAGGCTGCCCTGAGCTGCCGTATGAGAGCCGGAAGTTCCAGGGCCAGCGACAGGCCCCCACAAGTAACTGGAGGAGTCCTGAGAGGACCCCACACTGGTGAGCGGGAAGCCTCATCTGGACAGACGCCAACGTCAACCCCGACACCAAGACCAGAGTCCCGCATCCTAAGATCTGGGCCCCAGAGCCCCTCTAATACTGGCATCCTCACACCACACAAAGATAGATGGATGACGGACAAGTGCAAGGAAAGGAGAGATCAAGGTAAAGAGGGGAGAGTAAGTGAGGAAGGGGAGAGAAAGAAGGATGGTGGGACAAAGAAACAAGGAGAGGAAGAGAGACAGCGGAAGGAGAAGCTCACTGTCAGGTAGCCATGGGTGAGAAAGAGGAGGACAGATTGAGATAGTAGCAAGTCTGGATGTAGGGCAGAGGAATAAAGACTGCAGGGAAAAACAGAACTTGCTGCAGGGAGGATAAAAGGACAGAAAGATTAAGAGCAAAGGGTTGCAGAGTGATAAAAAAGATGAAACTAAAAATGCAAAGCTGGGGAAAGCCAGAAAAAAAGAGAGGAGAATCCGCCCGTATCCCTTTCTCCCAGATTCAGCCACTGACAGTCTGCTGCCTCCTTCTGCCGCATTCTCTCTCCCTTCTACAGTCTCACTCGCGCCAGTGTTGTTATGGAGTCTAATAGCCCCTCCTCTCCCCACTCTTAGCTCACTGACACACTCTCTCACTCTGCCTATATGCTGCTACCCCAACCACAGACCAATAGGATTTGTGTAAGCGTTCATGGGGCTTTGGGTTCACAGACGCATCCTCTGTCTCACCGTGAGGCCAGAGGAAACAGGGCTGTATGAAATGCACACATTTCTTTAGAAAATATTAAAATTACTATCCTCTAGCCTATTTGTTAAAATTTTAATTTAAAGCAGATTGTATGCAGGGCTATTTTTAGTATTTTTATTTTATTTTATATGACATTCCGTTTGATTTATAGATTGCCAAGAAATAATGAAAATGGAGAAAGATGCCAATTTAAAATTAAACAGAGCCAAAGGTGAGGTCCATAATTTGTCCAACCAAAACTTATATTGATTCAAATCCTTACATTTGAGAAGCTGGAATTGATAAACTAATCATTTAACTGTCTAATTGTTTCAGTACTAACTGTGTGCAGAGTTTGTTTAACCTTTGAGAATACGAGCTCCCACTCTGACAGAACAAGATAATGAACTTCTTGAAGGTAAAACAAGGTGAACAGCACGCAGTGAGTCACTCCTCATTGAGGCTTCTATGGAATAGTAGCGCTTGAGCGGGTTTGTTTGATTTATTTGTCACTTGTTCAGGTGACTAACCAGCCTTAGGCTTGAACACAAGCAGGATTTCAGAAGACAAAAGCAGTAGAACAGGATTTGTTCGAAACATTAAATTCTTGAAAGACGTTCAAAGAAACGTCAAGGTGAAAATTCATGATGACTAAGGCAAACACCAACTCTGTCCATAACTTACCTAAAGTAATCAGAGTCTCACTGTCTATCAGTTCCAACATCTAAAATCTTACTTACACTTATCTACTATTCGTGCTCTGCAAGATGATTGTAATGGTCTGAACTGAAGCAGCTTTAACTCAGATGAACTGTGCAGAACTGAACCTCCTTTTGGGACTGAAACCGCTCTCTATCTATGTCACCCTTAAATAGAATAAACACCTAAAGGGTTCCCTGTGGCTGCTGAAAACCACACTTTAATTATGACACTACAATTAAGTGAATGTAAGTAGATCTTTGTGTGATCATGGAAGATGCAGAGCTAAAACCATTTCATTTTCCACTGAAATGTTCCCTTGAGAAACAGTCACATGCTGACAAAAGTACTGACACACACACAGACAAACACACACACACACAGGCACAGAAAAGGCACATAGCCTTGAATGTCACATATCAGATGCAAGAAGTTGATTGCAAGAAATCACGAGGCAAAGAGCATTACGATAAAAGACACTGCTTCTCAGTTTCCCACAGTCTCAGTTAGTGAGACAATGTACAGATGGTTGAAAATGCGCCATGACTATGTACTCAAAGTATAGCTGTTTTGTTGTCGCTGTCATGAGCAGTTGGTATTTAGTGTAAAATTTTTATGTTCTTGTAGGGTGTAGTGACATCATGAGGAACAAAGCATGTCTCTTATTTCGTACTCATTAAGTAAACTCTATAATCAACAACAAGAACCTGATGTCTTCAGACTAGTTGAACAGAAACAGTCAAGTTCTTCCCCAGTTTCTTCCTTTAGGTCAGGAACATGTAGGAAGACGACTGAAACTTACAACTAGATACCTCACCTTACCCTGGCCTACTCCCACAAACATACACAGCTCAGTTCTTACATGTTCCAGTGCAAAAAAAATAAATAAAAATTGATTGTATTGTATTGCTAAATTATACTGCAGTAGAGTGAGTGTAAGAACAAGGTGAACTTTAGGTGAGCTGTGGCTCTGCAATCGAACCATTTTTCCTCCCCTGCTACATGACTCTGTTCTGCCTCCTCTCATCATAAAAATCTGACGTGTTTTAAGAGAATGAGAGAATCACAAGGCAAAAATTATTAAAATCTTGAAACACCAAGCACTGTATGATGTTTATCTCGGGCTATAACAGACTCATCTTGGTATGTTCAGTCATGGTGCCAAATCATAAGTCTCACCAGCCCCACAATCATAAAGCATTTAAAAGAGCCTTTATCATCATCACTATGAGTAAGTGCAACAGCGGCAAAATGAAGACAGATAGCTGTCCTCGTTGTTGGCACTTGAAACAAATTGATCTGTGGAGACTGACAGTGGTCGGTCGCATACTCCAAGGGCTGAATCATATGTGACTTTAACAGATGAAAAAGTGAATAAAGCTGCAAAAGAATAATAGCAGCAAACAAACAGAGCAAAGATTCATAACTGTCTGAATATGTGAAAAGAAGCATGTGACAAACAAAACAGTGGCGATGTCACAGAATGAGAGAAAGATATAAGAGGGTCGAAGAGGTCGGTGGGGGTCTTGATGAGTAAACTTGGTCAGGCTGTGGACTGCTGGCTCCAAATGATCGCTCACTCCCTCTCAGACACAGACACACACACACGATGCACAGTATCCAGTACGACTGAGATACCACGCAGTCTCTGCTCTCTGAGTTGTATGTGTGCTTGTGAGTAACAGACTCTTATTTTTGATTCTTTTAATGATGCCACTGGTCACGTTTTCTGGCAGGTCGCTGTAGAGAAGTAGGTCAGCCAGCGAATGAAATGGTCTGTCTAGAGAAAACAGTGGCAATTGTTTGTATTTGTGTTAGTATCTACGTTTCTGCTTGTTTGTCTTTGTGCATGTGAAAGTGTGTGGACGCGTGTGTAATTTACATGTCTGCCTTACCTTTTCTTTCATGTGTTTAAGGTTGCTTCACACTTTCACTCTCCTTTTTTTAAACAAAAGTTTGACATTCATTTGGAAAACAACCAGCTTTGGCTACATTTCAAGGTCTGAATCATCAAGGTCTCAGACTGTAGTTATGATAAACAGCTACTTTTTACTGTCTCCAGTGCAGACAATGTTTCAAAAAACAGGACTGGGAAAAATTTAACATTGTTAGAACATTTAGAGGTTTCTCAGCAAGGTGGACTCATGACTTTTAACAATGTGAAACCGACAGTGTTGAACAAAAGCCACTCAACTAGACAGTGCAGAGTGTATACAGAGATAGTAGAAAAATGCTTCTCTGTTTGACATAGAGATTAAACCAGTGAAGGCCTGAAGCAGAGATACCGAGTATTTGGAAACATTCTCCACCACCAAATTGCAGCTGACTACACCTATTAACAAATCTTTAGCACCGAGGTATTCAGGTCAGTTAGCGCTCTTACCCAGCATGCGAACGTGTATGGCATTCTGCTCCGACCTTTTAAATGTGACAGCACCGCACCTCTGTGGCAGAGAGAGAGAGAGAGAGAGAGAGAGAGAGAGAGAGAGAGAGAGAGAGAGAGAGAGATTAATATTACGACACCCAAAAATACACACTGCACCGATAGCAGCATGTCTGCATGTTGGACAACAACACTGAAAAAGTGGGTCAGGAAGCAAACGGGCATAAACTGGCAACAATTTGCACATTAATCACATGCTTCCACATGGTTGGTCCTCATGGTCAGAGGCCTTAAGTCATCTTTTTTTAGTCATTTTCTATCAAATGTGTGTTTGTATCTAGTTCAACTCAAATATTTTTGTAGTACTTTCTTAGAAAAACTGATAAAGCAGACATATTGTGGTGGATTGGTTCACATTAGATTAACTCAATATATTTTTTCTATCATAACCTGACCCATTAAAAGCCTCTCAATAGTGAGACATTCAACATTACCATTCAAAATTAGTGAAAATAACCACAACTTCTTAGAGACCAAGGTAGCACCTCAAAATTGTTTGTTTCATTGTTCGACAAACAGTTCAAAACAAAAAAATATTCAGCTAACTAAATTATTACTGGATTATCAAGAGTTGCTGATTAATTTTCCAAAGACCGGCTAATAGATTAACTGACTAATTGTTTCACCTCTGCTTAATGTCAAACCTCAATTTGTGAATCCTTAATGATCAAGACTTCTGTTGCCTCACTCCAACCCCCTGCAAAGTAATATGAGTCTTGACAGACAAATATTTTCCATCATCCGCTCTGCCCAGCTTTTGAATCAGCACCAACAATACCTTACCCATCTCTGTCTGATGAGCTAAAATTGATAAAGTACATTAGTTGTGTTGCAACCTGCCACCATACCCTGACCTGAGCTCAGGTCTGAAGCCTAATTACAATCCAAAGTACTGTGGTGCAGTTCAGGCAGACTGAGCTCGGTACATTTCCCAATTAAGGTAATCTATTTATAATAGCTAGTAATGGCTATAATAGTTATAATGGCTTAACATCTGTGTGCATAGTGGACACAAGTTTGAGTTGACTGAGTGCACCAAGCAATGTTGGTTTAGAGAACAAGACACACACACACGCACATATTTGATAGAAATCAGGTACCCTAGCTGACCTGCTAGACACATAACAAATCATCTGTTATCTGTTTTTACATAGTGTTCAGCGTTACATCTCTGGAGGAAAATAGTCATAAACAAGTACCTTGAGTAGGAGGATTTACATCTAAATTAGCTCACTGCT